GGTTGTTTGTACTCTTATAGACGTGATTTATAAGATTTTAATCCAGATGTCCATGCTTTACCTTTTTCCAGCTTGCTGTGCGCATTATCTGGGATTTGATTCCAGCAACAGGAGTGAGCAAATACACTGACAACGTCTAACTAAACGCTATAAAGTTCTCACAGAGACACCGTTAACGTCACCATTTAACTGGGAAAGAATGTCAAACTTTATAATTTAATTTGACAAAATCGGTGTCAGTTATTTGCGTGATGTTTATGTTGACGCTAAACATATCAAGCAATAAAAGGCAATGCTTGGTGCTAGCAACAAACTGTATTCCCATTGTGGACAATGTATTTTTCTTCTGTAAACGATTGTAAACAATTGTATAGTGTGTGTGGACTATTTCAACTTGTCAGTGTGACTCTCCGCCTGAATCAGTGTCCTGAAATAGTCAGCCGATCTTAGCTATACCTCAACCGTACACAGATAATATTATTAGTCTGTAGATATAACTGTACAGTGACGCAATGAGAACGAGTAAGGGTACCACCCACATTAGCTTTGCATTCCAGCATTTCAGTGTTTGTCTGGAATCCTCGCCAAACGCAAATAACATCTTGGGTAGTTTCTACCTCATAAGAGCTAGACTTTTTTGTATTTTCATTTTACATCTCTATCGGGTGAATATGAATGTACCCTAGCTAATACCATCATGTTTCTCCTGAAATCTCACCCAGATCGTAATAGGTTCATGACCTCATACTTTTTAAATTTATCTTTAAAGACTTTACCCATAATTCATAGTTAAACTTTGCTCTCCGGTGTATGCAATAAATAGATAAAATTATTGATCTGAATTCACAGCTAATTGGTCAAATTAATTTCACAGTATTTGGTTTTACATAACGTCCTATTAACATATATGATCGAATGAAGATGTTGATGTGAAGGAAACAAAGAAATCAAAGATAGATTTGTAATATTACAATAGAAATTGAGATAAAAACTCTTATTAAATTATCTCATTAGGTTTGATATCCTGGGTGATAATCTCAGGTCAATTTACATGTCTTGTTATGCATTTTACTTAAGCCCGCAGTGTTAACAGTGCTTAATTCTCTTTAAATGTTCACACTTTGCAGTCCAAAACAGCTGTGATTGATGGGTTTGAAAGGTATGCCATGCTTCACCTTCATTCATAAAAATATTTGTAAATAATTAATAAGTTTAGAAACGTGAAAACGTCGATATATGTCTTACGGGGAAGGACAGTGCTAGAGGATAGATATGGAACACGAGGCGACCGGAACAGTGGTATTCACTCTGCTGTGAAACACATCCATCAAAAATATTAGCTTCTCTCGGTAGAGACAAATTTCAGATGTTTGCGTTTCAGCGATGTAATTTTGAATATGTTTTATGCATAACCAAAAGAAAATTGTGATATTTTGTTCTCGGATTCCCCTTTAGACTTGGTGTTTCGTCCTAATCTTTCAGCCCGGTAGCTACAAACCTGACAGACGTCGATAACTTGATAAAGCTCCGTTTTCTACCACTGAACACCATGCATCACCCTACATAACTCTAGTTGTGTGTGTAGAAGTGACAGATTTATGAATAACATTAGATATCGTCAAGTTTTATGTGACTCCCCTCGACGATAAACCTAATACATTACGTATAAACTGGACAGATTCTATGTCGAGTTTCAATGTAGCCCCGGCTTTCTAATGTTAAATAATCTGCATCCTATTTACCGGATACAGATATTACTTCACAGTCTTGTTAAAACTCATGTGATATAATAAAACCGGTATGCTTTTAGTGTGAAACTCACTAAACCCGTCCATCACTCAGAATGTGAGGATATGAAGAGAAGTTTTAGAGTTAAGGTCGTGATATATTATTCAACATTGCCAGAGAGACACCTGTTATACAGCTTTCCTAATACAAGATTGAAGATTTTACATATATAGGTTTATTGGTATATATTTTTATATCTATATTACATGGCATATGTTTTACTGTGTAAGGTGTCGAACCGTCAAGAAATAAACAAATTATCCACGCAAACCGAATTCAATTGAAGGTGTTGACCTACAGGGATAACTCTAGTTATATTAAATATTAAACGCCTGGCATATCTAGCATTGATGGAAAAAAAACTCGTTACTTTTACTCGGTCTTCGTCCTCTTTAACACTAATAATCAAATTTGAATAATGTGGTTTTTAGGTGAATTTTCCTTTCAGTCACCTTGGTAAGCATGGTAGGCTTTGCGCCTGCCGTATTCATTGCGATTGTCAGTTAGCATACTAAGAGGGCTTTACACATTAAAAGATGGTCTTAAGTTATGTATGGAAATCTACAAATTGGGTAAACGATGTCTGAAAAACTTAAAATGATATATATGAATCATTGTAGAAGCTATGCTATTTCCTATTCAACTGCGAATCGCCGTGTACTTATGTATATGAACCAGGTGCGATTTAAAATGACACAGGTAGAAAAAAACACGTAAATTACAGGTACGGCGGATTTTAATGGAATATTTTGACTTTGTTGACTGGCGAATATCCCCTCTACGCCTCAAAGTAGTCATGGGTCACTAGGTAGAGAGGAAGATAATCAAGGTGTGATTTTCTACCTGTATATGTTCTAGCCAGGTGTTTCTGCTGGTGATATATAAACGCTATGGATACAATAGGTCCGTCCCCCTTCCCGTCAGTAAGAGACTAATATTGCTCAAATTATACCATACAAGCTCACAGGGGGCCAACAAGTCTTCTTCATCTATAGTCCTAGTATGTAGAGATACTGTAAGCATTTAAATTTTCGCGAGATGCAAATCAGGTTGTTTCCCATTTCTATTCCGGTTGTAAGTTCACAGATCTCATGAACAGTAATACGAGCATTGGTATTAAGCAGCTTTTAATTGTTATATCGCACTATTTTCATTATTTAAAAAAAATGCATTATCCTGTCGCCAATTTGAAATTCAGATCCACAACCAATTGTAATAAACAAAAATTATACCGACATATAACATAGTTTTAAACCGAACTTAACATGACCAGGTGTCCAGGTAGAGGAAGCGACTTCTGCTTCATCAACGATATCCGAATTTTTTAAACCTTGGTTTATTCAAATACGTAATGTCACGTTATCAAATGAACACTTGGAAAACAGACAACGAATTCAACAGGCAAACTGACGAACATCAAACACTCCCAACTTAACATACAGTGGGTACAGATCGGTTTGATCCCAGACTTCTGCAACTAGTATTACTATGTTTGTCAAAAATATGAATGGTTGTACAAATTAACGTTTAGAATAATGATTTTTAATATAATCATCAGGGTTGTGCTGATGTTGAGTTCAATTACTACAGTTCTGTCTCATTATGATTCACATATGTACCGCTAGCAAATAAATAATTCTGCAGATGTGCAGGACACCATCACATTTAAAATATCATTCATTTATTTCTTATACGATTTGCTAAAAACGGCTTTGAATTTACTTTCGAGTATTAAAAAAACCTTGGGAAAGTACATCATGGTAACATGTGTATACCAAGCTGATAGATATAGCAGGAGTGACACGCCTACTTCTTACACTGATTTACCGGCCCGGAAGATAAAAAGTGTTCATTTACTGGGAATACGGAAGAGAACAGCCCCTTGAAAACAATGTGCTATTATTGATGTTATTTTAGCCCATTTTATTCGATTATAGTGTCTAGGTTCGCGAGGTTTACCTAAGTAAGTGTTCTCGCGTATTAGAATCAGCCGCCAATGGCCTTTACTCATAGTATAGGATTGGGAGATTTACGGTCAAATTATCTTATTCTGATCTGAAATTATTGGTAAAATTAATAGTTTCTGTCGTGTGGCAGACAACCTATAAGCTATGATGGTAATATAAGCCTTATCGCATTGACAGTTTACCAGTTACGTATAAAAAAAAACCCTGAGTGCTTTCAAAAGTCCACATCTCAGAGAGCTATTGTTTCTGATATCGTTTACAAGATGTCAGACATTAAAACAATGCCCTTCCGCTTGGTAACTTCAATGTAAACAAATACTTTACTGTTTATTAGCGTACTTTATTTTCTAGGTAAGAAGATGCATTCAACTATAGATTCCATAATATAAAGCAGCATTATTGAGATCTTATAGGAATCCGGATTTCTCCTACAACGACGGTCTAGTAATTAGATTGTCACTACTTGGCTCAAAATTCATTCCCGGTATTTACATAATTTGGCCTTTAATATCTACAAACATTAAATTGACACTACAATGGAGAATGTCCCAAGGAAGATTGGAGAAAGTGTCCGGCATTGTCAGTCTAAAATGGGCCGACAATCGTCCTGTGATTTACGGGTCCTATGACACGTCCTGGGATCCTGGGAAAGGAGTCTTGGTCATTATACTTATAAAGATGCGAGTCTCTCCACCCCAATAACGACAAGCGATCGACGATAAATTATGCGCCGCATATCTCGTTAATAAAAGGTTGGACATAGATCCAGCTTAATCCCATTGTAGACCTAACATCAAAATACCCATTAAATCGCCCTAAAAGTCGACGTTGGGTGATTGCCGGAAAGCAGATCTATATTTATGCGCCGAGGTTTCAAGTCAGTGGGAGTGGAGAAAGAGAGCGGTTCGAGTGTTTCTGGATACACTACACAATATGTCGATGTGAAACATCAGCCAAAACGTCACTCTATGTCAAATTTTAAATTAGAATTGGGATGTATTGCTCCGGTTATAATTTTATCTAGTATCTCAATTTCTCAATTTCGTATATTTTCATTATTCTTTAATAATTGGCGTTGCAGAAAAATACCGTTTTTACAACACTTGCACTGATCCATAATTATGTATTTTTAGTGTTTGTTCTCCTTCTGAATAATTTGTGGACCTGTTCATTGGCCGAATGTAATATTATCTCCTGTAGTTTGCCAAACAATTTGCTATCTCAAACTATTACAACATATCTTACCTTTCTGCCTGCTTCGTTGTTATGTAAATTCATCAGCTTCCTTCCGGAATTTTTTATATTTCTTCGTCTCTCACGTGCATCCACAAATTCTTTTGAAAATGCTGTACCGTATGCTATATTATCTGAACAACCAGACCACTCGAATCCCTTGGGACTTCGTCCCGTCACTGATCGATCACAACCACACCTTGTTAGGGCGCCACTACTGCACGCGCGTGTTACTGCGTGCGCAACACCTGCCGCCGAAATGGCATGAACGAAGGACGCTTCTCTGGTGCCTGCAATGATATATATACATATATATTATAATGAAAAAAATGTTTTGAGTATTCTCATTTCTTCTCGTAAAAATTTGGACTGTGCCGCAAACTTTTCTGAATTTTTTTTTCATTGTTGAAAAGCTGTGACTCAGGATTCCACAAAATGCATTTGCGTGTTTCAATGAATATTTTGAAATAAATATTTCCGTATTTGATTATTTTATGGTTTTTTTATCACCAATAATTTAATGTGAGGTATGGGAATTAATTTTCCAATGACTTCCTTCTTTGGGAATACCATTCTTTAGTGAGCACAATTTGTCTCTATCAAGAATTTAGACATTCTGAACAGGAGACTTGCATTCCAGTCGCTGAATTCTCAGAGCGGTTGTTATCGAACGTGGAACAAAGCCTTGCTGAACCACTTAAGGGTATCTATGTACATGTTCGTGGGATAATGTTTTATCGGTAATATAAACCGTTTCACTCCAAACCGAAATGATAAAACATCATAAACGTATCGATGTGTGAAGACGGACATGAGAGCTGGGCCGCCGAAGGAATTGCAGCCATTGCTAACAGTCATATAAATCACTGGCGCGTGCGCATTGTCTCTTGCGATGGAAAGAAATCAAAAATAGATGTGCAGTTGATGACCAGAATATTATTCATTCTCTGATAAATCATTGAATATATTGATCAATCAATTAAGTAAAATGAATGTGTGTTTTAAACTGATCGTTTTCTTTTATTTTCTAAAAACACACTAAGAGTATGTTAAACCTAACTATACCTGAAAACTATTTGTTATGTATTGGTGTCTCGGTGAGTTTACAAGCTGTTTTCAAATGTTCTCGAAGTCTGTGCTTTCAGTTGTGCTTTATCTTATAGGACGTAATACACTTTGACGTGCGGGAGATGGTATCATCTGTCGATAGTTCCGATCAACGAACAGCAATCTTAAATACCAGTCGTGTTCATTTGCACTTAGAGTGAGGGGTGTGAATTGTTTTAGAAGCTTAAGAAACTATATTAGACATTTCATAGTTGAATTGCATTCTTGGTGAAGATTTAACCGAGTTATTACATAGTTAGAGAATGTTAAACCAATTAAACTATGATTGTAGCCCAGACCAGGTGTCGCACGCTTGCTTCAAGTTGATGTGATGAATGACGGTAGCGTTATTTTATCTCTGACTCGAGTCTCCCACGCGAGTTTAAAGAATTGCTTTCGGCGATTGATGATGTTTTCTCTCTCATTTTGCCCCAAATATATTACGCATTACCGGTATATAGTTGAATTTTAAAATATGATAGACAGAATGTTTGTTACAATTTCGACACGACAAGGATATGTTTTACATAAAGACATTACAGAGGAATGGTCATTACTATGACATAACTGATAATTTCCAATTATTTATTTACAAATATATATTTATAATTCCTTTACAACAGCCAGCAGCAGTTTGTTGTTGTCTATCTATTACCGTCGCGTCTGAGGTTGTTTTGTCTTCCCTTACGTCAAAATATAAATACAGGTTATCCATTTATCTAGATCTGTACAAAATAAGAGGTATTTATCAAATAGGTGGATACACAATGTCCGACTATTAGTTGGACTGAATAAGGACTAATTTACTTAAGTAAGAAAGTGTTGTACCGGACAAGTGTCATCGGATGAAATATTGAAGTAAGTGTTCCCTGTTGAAGTAAGATATGATACTCATCTATTAAACAAACACACCAGACTTCCCCCTAACATTATATATCGTTGTCACTTCTGATACACTGAAAACGTGTCTCTACACCTGCTGTTTTCCCGTAAAGTGTACACTTACAAATATAAACAGAATGATGTCTTTTCTTGAAGAAAAAAAAAATCGTTTATATTATTTTTCTACTCAATGAATAGACGATGTTACTTAAGTTTAGTTTGATATCCTAATTCAGTGATACGTCACTCCAAAATAGAGTACTTTTGCTGCAGTAATGAATGAACTTTTCTCCAATACCATGAATCGATTTTTGTTAACAAAGCATTACATCGTTTTCTGCTTCAAGTTTATCAAATGTCAAACACCGTTTATGTAAATATATATTTTTTATTTATATATTTACGTTCTTTAACAAATAACGAAATGATAAACATCGAAACTGAAATCCCATTAAGATTAAATCTACTGCAATTATTTCTAACGATCTCTAGATGAATAGCGTTTATCAGACATGTTTACATTCATAAGATTAAGCAAACTAACACAGTCCCACAAATGTTATATAACCTGTTTGAAAACTTGAAATCAATATGATTAAATAAATAAAACACCGCTACCCTAACAGTATAGAAACGTGCTGATTGGGTTCAGATTGGGTTTAGTTTGCGTAAAATTTCACACGTCCAGTAAAAATAGCCTGTGTTTACACTATGGTATGTAGAAAAGTTTTAAGAATCGGCAATTTCGTGAATTTTTCTCGGTATTTGATAATGTCAGTCATTTTCTACTGCGGCAGATCTGATTTCGGAGATTGGACGAGAAGTGTTGAGGATTTAAAACATAGGATATATGTACTTTTAACATGCTTATATATAAATATATGTGTGTGCCAGTCCAGTAACGATCTGTCCCTCAACAGTATGACATATATTTACTTACAGTAAACTAGAGTTTATCAATATGTATACATAGCCAACACTCGTTGAATTAGCATGTATGTGACGGAAAGTGGGATTTAGCTTGATTCGATATAAACTTAGCATTAGTTAGCTTGAATTTCACGGAGTCAAACATGGCATTGTCACGGTAATGTAACGTGAACACAGAGGTATGTCGATTATCGAGATCGACTGTCATCGAATGAAAATGTCGTCACTCTGACACCAAATTATATACTTAAACGTGATATTCGATATACTGAATCTTATAACGATATGTATAAAACGTTTTTTTTTTTTTTTTTTTTTTGTAAGTTTTCGCAATACATAAGGCTCTTCAAAATCTACAGTTGTTATCATTACAGTCACTAGTGAATGGATACGGAAACGGAAAAATGCTTGAAATTAGAAAAAAAAAATATATATATAAGTGTTATTTTGGAAAATAGTTTATCGATATTTTGCTTTTTCTGGTTTGAAGAAGTGATATTAAATGTGTGAAATGATTTTGGCCTAACCGTGTAAGACCGGTTAACCTACCATATATGTGAGGTAGCACCACGACTTTATTCCGATTTCATATCGTTTCATCATTTGGTCACCACTGATGCTAAATAAAGCTACTTTTAAAATCACGTGGGGGCGTTTTTGTCATAAAATTTGGACAAAAAATCTAATTTTGTGATGACGAATTAAGGCTAACGACCCCAAAAGGGGTTTGTATGGTTCGCATTGGTCTCGCTTATACGTTTTCATTTATCTCACTCCTATAGTTGCTGTATAAACGGTTTATAACATAGCTGAAAGGCTATGTACTTTAAACATTAAAACAGGCGTATCCAAAACAACCGCCATCGATTTCATCTGTTATCTCACTCAGGAATTTCATATGCTTGGCTTTGCTTACATCACATGTGACGATAAATTATTTGATATTTACAAATACACTTCTATTTCATAATAAACATTATATACCTTGGAATCTGACGAGAGGTTAAAATAAAGATTTCACTTCGCCAAACTATAAACGATTTTGAGCCTCTTTATTATCAGTCTTTTGTTAACAAATATACACATTCTTTACTTTTTGATTTCCAGCTGACATTGAAGGTTATATGTGGATCACAAGGTATTAGCATTATATTCTTATCATGAAAGATAAAAAAAGTCACCGTTAAAATTCATTTGGAATGAAGGAATTTTTCAGTATGGTAGCATACAGCCTTAAGTTTTAGTATCATTCTGACATTAGATATATAAACATAAAATTATACTTACCTAATTTAAGAACATTTCCAAATACTTTTTTCGCATTAACCGTACTACAGTTCCATCGTCGATTGCGGAACTGAAATTGACATTCGTCTATGGCTGAATGAGCACCGTGTTTCACGCTGTCCATCACTTCTAAATTTTTCCTACATATTTTCTTCTGTCTTTTAACTAATCCTAGTAAGGAATCACACATTTCTGGTACTTGTATCGCTGCTACGCTGTTCATCCGTGCTAGAGATCTGAAAAATGGGAGGAAAAAATCTTTATCTGAGTGTTAAAGGAAAAAGAAAAAAGAAAAAGAAAAAAAGAAAAGAAAGGAAAGGAAAGTAAAAAGAACACTGTTCAGACTTTTTAATTATATTTAATTTGAGCATATATTGTACGTGACAATTAATGTTTTGTCTATTCTATCTAACTTTACATATTTGTTAGTCTATCACGTATGTATTAGAGTAGGCGTATTTCTACACCTACGTTGCTTCTAACTATCGATCTTTAATAAAACTGAACTTGTAATTACCTTTGTGTATAAGATCAGATAAATTATCAAAATTATGTAATGTTAATATGCACATTTAAGATAATGGAATGCATGTGCGAGTTTAATTATGCTTGAGTACACCAGGTGTGTTTCAGTGATCGAGTGGAGTATGTTCGTTAAATTATTGGCAATTGCATTAAATTTATAAATATCGCAAGAATCTGGTGATTATAACTGCAATTCCTCTATCATTATTTCTTATGTATGTGATTAAAATGTCCTCCTTGCAGGTGTTTGGAGTAATTTATGTTTATATTTGTTTTATTATGAGCGATTCGTGTCATTTCTGTATCAATGCATGACAAGTTAATTTCTCAGAGACAGGGAATATCAAATATAAATCTTAATGCGTTAAATGACGTTTAAGTCTTTAATCACTTTTCTCACATCGGTCGTCAAGTTTGTTGTTATATTGGTGACGTTCACCACGAATGTTTTCATAACAATCACAGCATTGATGACGTTTGTCACATTGAGTGGATTGATGTGCTCTGACGAAGACAGCTAACTTCTGCAGGCAATGTTACATCAAAAGATACAAAACACAATACTGAGTTAAAACATACAATAGGATTGTAACAGGACGCGGGAAACGAGACAACTCACATTAGTGTGTCCAAAACACGTCCGGATTTCTGTATCTCCGCTTTGTGCTTTGTTCTTTAGTTAGAACACGACTCCCCGGGCACTGAATTCGGGTCCGTCTGCTTTATAAATCACTCTGTAATCTTATCTAGGTAACTAAACTGGACACAAAGTCATGACCGTATTTATACTCAATTTATAAAAGATTTTATTTATATATATAGAATTTGTCGGTATACATGGAATGTGTATTTACCGTTAATAGGACGACGTCTACCTTTCCGAATGTAGACGTAAAGAGGTTAGCAAGAACACACGTGTAGACGAAATAGATAGCAGATAGAAGCATCAAGTAATTATCCAAACAGTCCTTTCAAATTTAGATATGTACTCAATTAATATTTAAGTCAGAATTTTGATAATGAAAGAGTTATTCTCTACATAAATGTTTTCTCTGTGATACCAACACCCCGACTACCCTCTTATAAAATACCCCCTTCCTAACCCCACCAACATGTCTCGTCGTCCTAGTATGGCTTCTGAACACGTCTGCTCAGGTAATTAATAAAAGCCAAGTACACATGGATCACAGAAAATACAAATTATCAAACACCAACGCAAATTAATACGTGTGTGAAAACAACCTAATGAGTGATTTTTTTCTATTGTTTAGAGAGAATCACTCGGCGCGACTGTATATGCAGACTAGCTTTATTAAATGGATCACAGTCAATCCCTTTTTTTCATTTTCAACGGAGGAGAAAAATATATTTTTCATATTTATTGGAATTTTATTTCTTTTTTGACGGGTTATCAGAAAATGATCTGATAAATTCGTATTTTCAGTGAAATTCCAGAAAAAAATGATGTATTTTAGCCGTAGGGAAGACCATGTGTGAATGTTCTGTGAGTAAGTATTTAAAAGACTATTCATAGCCAATAGACGATGATAAACATCTGAATAATTCAATGTAGTTTTAACACTCGGGGTGTTTTAGCATATAAATATATCTATCATAAGACAGATCTGGCACTTAGCTCCTAACACACAAATATATTGCAATGACGTCTCACCATTCAATGGACCGTGTACTTATAATGTAAAATGTCTCGATCACGTGACGAAATATCCCCTACAATGTCAGAAATCCTGAATAATGCTTGTTTCTCCGTTGCGATTTCCTCTTCACTGGGCAGGAGGAAGAGAGGTGATGGAATGGGGGAGGGGAGATTGTCCATTAACGCCGTCGATTTTTATGACGAAGACAAATTAAACTTACAGTCAATAAGATGATGAAAACATGAATTTCATCAAAGAATGATATTGTTGCTATGAAGCTTATATGTAGAAAATTTGAAAAATTCCTTGTATGTTTTTCCTCATTATGACAGTAACGTGGTTCTCAGAACACACAGGTACCAAAGTATGTATAAGTTTTTACATTACGTATCTTACCGTAGTATACACACGAAGAAATGGTGACAAAGGAGCAATCTTAGTAGACATATGGTACATTTCATTCATCGCATATATCTGGCTCTATGACCTTGCCAATAAAACTCGAGTTGTGAACCGGTCCGATCGAGGACACCATCCACTCTTCGTTTATATATGTTAAGATACTTTCTGCCGATTCTACGTTTCAGGAGCTTATATGAATTGCACATGTTTGATTGTAGCAGCCGAGAATCGTATGTTTATAAGCATGTACATGTAAACAAAGCACGTGCACGTTTAAAAATTTGCAACGCCAGGCGATTTTTTCATGAACTTTCGTCAACGACACTGCAGTGTACACTGCAGTATATAGCAGTCACAGCTTATGATCATTGAATGATCCAAAATTTACAAAATTTGGTTAAAACCAATTTTCCTTTTGAGCTGACTTATCGACAGATTGTCAATATCCATAGTATTTTAGACACACCATTAAATAAAGTTAGGTAAAACAGGTGTTAAAGAAAAACATGTAAGGTATGCCTGTGTGACTAATATCGATAACAGATCTGGTATATTTAATGAACACAATATATAAAACGTACCTAGGCGTAACGGTAACAATGTATCACCGTTTTCCATCACTATAAAACTGTATGCTTCGTAGATGTAACTATTTTAATAGAAATATTCATTTCTCCATTTATCTCCGTCAAACTAAGATACATATCAATCTGTATGTAGAAAATCATTTTCAGTACTCATTGAAAAAGTGAAATTTTATTTACTTTTTTTTTTATCAACAAATTTTGAATGATATCGTTTTTAAGATCAGGAAGATGCTGTCAAACCTCATTTGAAAGTAAAATGAAGGGAATCAGTCTTCCAATCAATTAATACCCCATTATCACGGTGATGACATGTATGTTTATCTGGGTGTCAGGTAAATGGAATGCTCCACTTTGCGAATTCAAGTATATGTTGTGAACAACCGTCTTTATTGTTAAAAGTATAATATAATGAAACTATTTATAATGAAGGAAAAACACGCGCTCACGAATATTTATTTTTTTTTTCTACAAATATGTAGGGATGTAGCCTTTCTTACAAATACTACCTGTATAATGGTGTTATCTCCCTTTATCATCAAAGCCTGTTTAGATGCACGTGTATCTGTCAATACCATCAATATCTAACCATTCACAAATCAGTAGTACAATATTTATCAGCTTTTAAATGTGTAACTCTTTTCTGAAACGAGATACGAAAATAACTTAAAGATATCATATAGCCTTAACTGCACTTCAATATACTTCGAGGTTCAACGTATTTTTTATTATCGCAAGAGAACTTTAATTTTGTACCCGTACAATGGAATTTGTATAGACATAAGTGGTTTGCACCGACTGATAACTGCAATAAAAATCCCTGTGTTGCATTTTAAACAGAGAGTGCTTGATATAAAATCAAATTATAATTTTATCAATTTTCTACAGCGATTTGTAAATTTACGTCACATTGCCAGCGACAGTAGTTACGCAATTTTGTTGACAATAGCGGGACATTCTTTATTTACATACGCCTTCTTGTGGTGTATCGGTTGGTATAATATACGGTATATTATCGAGTACAAGGTCCATGACTCAAACGATACCTCCTCCCGTTTTATGAAGTTGTCCCCGATGACTTTCCCGCCGAGGGGCAGGCTTATACCATTGTCGCGAGGCAGTTTAACGTTAGATTTTTACAGGAGAATGATTTAAGCTGATTCAATACAGACTGCAATAACACCAGGCCATTTATTATTCAAGTTTAAAAAAGAAAATAGATGCTTCCTGAGGGATTTCTACGCCCATGTTATAAATAGATCGGAAACATCAGTAAGTAATAAGGAAATCACTAAACTTAATTAGTATATGAATGAAATTTTGTTTAGAATATGTCACTATAGGTACTTTGAAATAGGTTAAAGTTACACAAAATGTATATATATTTATATATATTTTATCTTTATGACTTTCTACAGTCACCCCCTCCTCCCCCTACCACTGACTTATCCCCCCACACCTGGGTCAGAGGCGTAGTGGTAACAGCGCCCTATGACGAATGGCAAATTATTGCCGTGATGAGAAATCGGAAGGAATAAAAATTATTTTAAGTGGGACATAACTTGTGAAATAGGGATGGTGTTTTACAGCAGGTTAACTGTATATTTGATACTGAATTAAGATTTCAATAGAAATGTCTTACGACATAACGATATCTCCCTCCCTGTTCAACAGTTCATAGTAAATGTTCCACTATCGAGGGTATATTGTATGAATTTAGATAAAAGCTGGGGTGTTGATAGTGATACGCTAAACTGTAATCATGGCCCCTTTTCTTTACTGAGCTCCCTTATACATAGAATTGATATGGATTCCCATACAACAGAACTTCAACAGTAATCCACCCCCTCTATGTCCAAGATTTCTGGTAATCCCCGACCTAAGATACTCTATGTATCATTTAAACGTTCTCTGTTGATGTTACGGAGAAATGAATTTTCAGATATACACATCTACCTGGTAACTTTATAATGAATATCTAGAATACATTTACCTCTACACAAATATCTCTATATATTAGGAGATGAAATAAGATAGATGAGTTGATTTCAAGGTAAACGTGAGCAGATTTCGTTGAAACCCTAACTAAAGCGATCGCGAAATACATAAATTACTCATTTGATTGAGCTGTGCATAATTGTCCAGGTGGTATGCTAATTAGGAAGCCATGCATATTTGCATCTTATTATCTAATGTTTAATTTCAAAACAAATTTTAGTTGACGCATTATCAGTCACAAGGATAAAATGATTAAATGAAATTAATTAAGTATTTAATTAACTTGAAATATGCATTTATATATAAAATGAAACGGTATCGTTTGTATTTGCACAGTGAACCTATACAATATTTATAGGTAAAATTAACGATATATATCGAAAACAGTAAAAGAAGTTGCAAGATTATTATGTCTTGGAAAGTCAATTAATTTTAAATGACACCGATTATCAGGTTTCAAAGTTACTCTCAGAATGTTATCAACGAATATAAAAAATGGATAGAAAGTATACTTACAGCCATCTAATACCATCGGCAAGAGGAGGAATTTGTATAAGAATGTAGACACCCATGAAGATACACAAACAGTGTGGTCGCTTCATCGTTATGACTAGATATAATCCTTAATCACCGATTCACCAAAGTCCTTGTAATAATCACGAATATAACCCAGTAGGATCCTCGTCTGGCGATAATAACACAGACAGTTTTTAACAAAACTCTTTACAATATTTAATTCACTACAAAAATTTCTATGTGTACATCCCACAGTTATCCTATCATTTCGAGAATTGTGTTGTACTCCATCACAATATTTAAGCTTTATCAACACTGAGAAATATTGTATACAGTGTATGGTGTTTACTACGAAATCCACATGTCTTAAATCTCCTCACTTGCTTTCACGTGATAACTATAAATTCCCTTTCTGTGTATATAACATCAAGTTTTTTCTCTTCTTACTTTGCACACTGTAATCTTTCATGCATAAATGAAAGAGGTCTCTGCTATCCAGCAACTGAGGGACATTTCAACAACGCTAACCACGCCTACTTTTCAGATGACGGCTTTCCATTGGTTCCGCCCAACCGGAACGCTAAATGAAGTTGTGAATGTTTTCACAAAGGTGTCGCTTCCTCCGCTTGTTCCTCAATGAATGGAATTGGTCTCACTCGCCTCAAACTCAGTCCATGATAGCCTATAGTTAAATGAATCTAATTATGTAGTAAAACATCAACTCAGACTGTCTGAATGCGATAATTATAGACCTGCGTCACAATAATTTCAAAGCGCCTGTTGCAACAGTACTTTACATATCCATATAGACAGACGGTGAAGTTTCCTGTTATCAAAATAGGTTCAATAATAGATACAAAATTGCATATTGATTTATTAATTGGTGTTATTTTTAACGATACGATGTTAAAACAGATTGTCAATAAGAATTACTCGGCATAAGAAGGGGAAACAAAAGACTCATTGAGTCATTTTATCCTCGCTTTCTCAGAGTATATTTCTAATATATTGACATTTAAGAAATTCTGTTTCGATTAATGATCAGGGACAAATTGTAATGTTATTTATATATACATCTGTGTAATAATTAAGTCAATTAAATTTCGTCAAATACGTTCGGCCTAGATATCGCGTTGGAAAAAATTAAAATATCATTATATGTTATAACACTACACAATCATAGTATAGAAATATGTCATGCATATTATTATTAAGAAAATTAGAAAATATATATTTATATATTCTGCTTTCGCAAGCAACATTTTGATTGAACGTTGTTTGGCTTTAACAATAATTTAACAGTAAACGCAATCTAGATTAATGCGGGGTCGATATAGAGTTAAATGTACAGGGAAGATAGTCTCGATTTTATTTTAACGTCTGATCAAACACATTTGTTAAACGTTTGATTTGCCTCTCCTTTTAGAGGAAAAGTTATATTCGTAAAAGACTTAAAACTAATATTTTTTCTACTTCCTTAAAATAATTATAGATTAAAAAAAAAACTTGTGTGGTTTACAGTAACCGTCTAACCATTTGTACCTGTGACTCTCCCTCACCTGTAATTAACGTGGATCCAATCAATCCGTGATTTATTCGTACGTGTTAAAGCACGATCTGATACAATTTTCCTGTACAACATCGGTCGTGCTTCTCACGCGCTAACGGTTGATAGTCCATCACAATCCACACACATCCGGATAAATCTAGAACGTTCAACTGTTGATCGAGTTAGTCTGCAATCTTTACGAATCTTCAAAGCGTTTGGGTAATTTTTTCCCTGACTCCAAAACTGCCTATATATCTTTCGTCTTTCTCTATCAATGTATGAAAAAGACGCTTTCTCTGGTTTAGATATTACCACCGTATGTTAAAACTGAGAACATTATATATACAGTCAACATTAGCGTTTGGTTATGTGTAGAGAGCGTTCCTGCAGCAGTTTTCCTCATCAGATATTATAAGATGTAGGTTCCTTTCCATTGCTCTATCTCGACCCTCTGTCGGTAAACACACGCCAGTAGACAGTCTCCTATCACTGCAATAGACAAATATTACATTTCACTGTCACCTTGTGGTATATACCATTACACCTGATGGCTTGGGAGTTCAGAGGATACACAGATATATCATGTCAAAATATACTCCTCTTAACTCTACTGATTTTTATCTTAAAAAAATTCGTAACTCAATTTGACAGAGTTTGGTTATCATTTCGCTTTTTTTAATTTGAATGGGTCTTAACACAAGAACTTAAACCATAAAATAATTCATTGTTGGTTTGTATGCATAACGGGTGACCGCTTTTGACATGTTGGCTCTCATACAGCTGGCTTATGTGCATCTTGTTTCCCAGGTTGGTTTGTTTAGACAAGTTGTAAATTCGAATGAATGCACATTAAACTCACCTCAAACACAGAGTACATCTACGGATGGTCGCTCTAAACAAGTGGTGATGTTGAACACACATATTCACTGATGATGTCGCTTAAGAAATATTGTTTTCCCAAGTCCACATGGATAAATCTCACCATGGACACGTCGTGTCTGGTGACCGCTTTATACAGGTCCCGTTTTTATAGCTAAAATATCAGAAATATACAGGGTAATTTTATATATGAATCCATACCACATACCCACACAACCCGTCTGTCTTCACTTGTCACTAGAATCCGTGACAAGACCTCGAGCTTCGCTGGTATTAACTCCAGTCATCTTATCTTCAACCTGTCTGTATTAAAAAACAATTTATCAAAAGTGGGGAATTTTATCAATAATAACACGTTTATATACATAACCCGTCAGGAGATTTAGTTCAGTCGATGTTCTCACTGCAATATTCACATTTACATTTTCTACTTAAGTCCGGGTGAATGGAATACCAGTAGTCAGCTAAATGACAAATTGTGTGTGATGGTTTTACAAACAGTTACTGCACAATATACAGGTGCATGTATGTACACACGAGGATTTCACTCTTCTTAATAAAATATAATTTTGTTTAAAATCGTGTTACGTACTTCATCGTAAAGTATACATCGGCGCGTGGTGTCACCTGACGCATTTAGCCCCCTAAGATGATGTTAGATGGGAGTTGTGTTCTCTGTTATGACGTGTTTACAGAATGCACACCAAGTGTTATATAAACTAAAGTAAAAACTATAAACACTACAACACTGGAAAAGATACCGACTCAAAATCCATACTATTAACACGACATACTTATATATATATATGCTTTTACTGGTGATCACGGAAAGCGATGTTGCTCTGTAACTTTGTCGAAAAGTTGATGACGTCATTGCACCTGTCGTTATATAGCACAAGTAGTGAACTTTTATTTGAATCAATAACAAATTTAAATAAAAATATAATCAAATTTGAACAAACGCTCACTCACACCCCACACCCCCACACACCCTCCCCCACACCCCCACACACCCTCCCCCCACACCCCCCCACCCACATACCTATATATATATATATATAAATACATATATATATATATATGTAGAATGAGGATACAAACTCGACCTTGTTCCCTTTTTTAAGATGCAATGATATCATAGGTACAGCAAAAGTTGTGGACATATGTGGTCTTGGTGTTTTATTAAATTTGATTTTCATGCTGTAGGAATATTACACAGACAACTTTTTAATTGGTAAATAGTTATATATATATTACGAACCTAACCTAATTCAAATATAAACGATAACGAGTGTCGAAAGAAAGACATTTCAAATTCAAGTTCAAATTATTTTATAACAGCATTACGTCTGTATTTACAATATGTACTACATTCGATATTTTTATCGATTCGGTAGTAATTCTAACCAAGATATCGATATCTCACATACTCAATATGTTCCCGATCTGGTATTATAATCCCATGTTCATGGAATATTAATGTAAATCAAAAGTGCTTATGTCTATTTGTTTCCTAAAATGGGGAAACTATCAAACGAAAGACATATATCGTAATTTTAAAAGTGAAAAGTGTGATATTGTCGTTAAGGAATGGTGAAAAAATTTTAATACACATAAAACACAAGTATCTAACTTTTGTGTTCTGAACCATTTACTTTCGATATATTTTTTTCTTTTCGTATTGAAACGCCTCGGAAAATTTTGATAAATAGACACCTCTCAACTCGTCACACTTAACGTCAAAACATAGCACTCGATTGATTCAAATTCCTCACAATTCTAATCTCCGTCGTTTAAAAAGTTTTAAACGTCAAAGCTAGGCTTTTAGCCATCATAGCTATCGTGCTTAACTCCCAATACCTGGTGTGTATGTGAAGCGTCACCGTGAATGCGTTATTCCACGTAATTGTCAGAACTAAATGAAGCGTTTCAGAGACTAGGTATTTTTCCAATGGCTGATATCCCAGTCGTGCTGGGAAGAAACGTCTTTCTGTAGAAAACATTTATCACAACAGCATTGAAAATCGTCAAGAGGCAAACTATTCTAGTCATTAATCATAATTTAATCATAATTCTAACTGACAGTCTCACCCCAAGCACACCAATAATTATTTCATGATACGAGAGGTCCTGCATTTTTCAATAAGAGTGGATTTCACTTTTTATCCCGACAAAGCTAAACAGTTTTTGAGGGCGACCGATTGAAAAAAAAATAATGAAAAGATAATCATTCTTCTATGCTTAGTGATGTTTTCAATCTTTGCAATGTGAATGATTTGACACTTGACCTTTGGCGGGAAATGCACTCCGACTTGTATGCGACGACGCCTTGCACATGTACAGATGTACATTGTATGTATAGTCTGGATTGTTAAAGATACAAGAATCAACACCAAAAACAAAGAGAAAAAATTTATGAACTTAGATAAAAGGAGGAAGAAGACAATTTGTTTCTCTTTTAGTTGTCTCACAACAATGAGAACGTAAACAGCAAACAAAACAGAGAAGGGAGACAACTCATCTTAAAAATGACACTATGTAAAACACATGTAACATAATTCTTTAACTACGGGATGAAGGTGTTGTTCTTGTCTGTCCATATCGTAAACTTCTGGAATTAGAAATAAGGGGCGGAATTTATCAGAGACGTAACACACA